CCGGCCAGGTGAGGCGGACAGTTCTGGGTGTCACTGTGGCCAGAGTCTGCACCCGGGGTGGGGGCAGAGGGGCTGGGGGCCCTTTAGGAATGTGGGACGTGCAGAAACGAGTCCACAAAGTAGAAGGGGCCCTCACACAAATGAGAGAGGTCCAAAAACCCAGGCGGGGCTGCCCGCACACACGGGCTCAGGCTGGCCCTGCCCAGACTGCCTTGGTGAGGGCTAGGCTCCCAGCTCTGAGGGGACGGCCACCCACAGGTCTGGTTAGGCCATCACCCCTGAGGGTGGGAGGTGGCCTCCAGGGCACTAAAGGGGTCTCACAGAGAAGCCACCTGTGGTGTGACCCTACACACAGGTGCTGCCAGGGGCTGGGAGGGGAGGGCGGTAGAGGGCTACAGAGTCTCCCTCCGGGGCATGGAAAGTTCTAGACTGGGTGGGGGTGACAGCTGCACAGCTCTGAGCATGGGACGAGCTGTGGCACCGTGCACGTGGAGCAGGTGGATTTACGGACCGAGCTGCATCTCGATGGGGCTGCTCAGGGTGGGGTGGGGTGCTCAGAGCAGCCCCTGGGGACGGCTGGGGCTAAGAAGGAAGAGGGGCCGTGAGTCGTGCTGTGTGGTGCCACCAGCGACACTGAGGGTCCGAGGGGCCCAGTGACAGCCTTGGTGACACAGCAAGTGGCAGACAGCACGGTCCTGGGTGTTGGCACACACCCTGTGGGCGCCAGGCACCAAAGGAGGCCGAGAGTAGGAGACCCTGCCCCCTCCACCCATGTGGGTCACCGACCCGTGGGCCCTGGGTGGTCCTGCTCTGGTAGACAGGTGTTCTGTGCTGGGGGACAGGTCACGAAGCTCCGCGGATGGGACGGGCCCTGCCAGTACCACCTGGAATGGAGCAGGTGAGGATGAAGCTGGCCAAAGTGCGGCCCCTCCACTGAGGCGAGGGCTCAGGGCATGGTGGGTCTCTGGCACTCCTGGCATTCCCAGCCCTGCTACCCGGCCAGTCGGTCGGCTGATGCAGAAGAGCGCGTCTGCAGCTGTCCTGAGCCAGCTGCCGCTGCCAGGACTGGCCCAGGGCTGCGCCTGCCCTCGCTGTCCTCAGTGGACTTGGGGACTGAGAGCCTTGGTCCCGACTCCCCACTACCCAGTCGGGACACACCTGAGACCAGCTTCTGAGCCCCAAGCTGCCGTCCCCAGCCCTGCACGGTGGTCCCCACAGGCCGTCCTAGGTGGGGAAGGCCGAGGGCCACCTCTCACCTCCCTGGGGGCACCGCCCCCAGAAGAAGGCTGCTCGGCCAGGTACTTGGGGGCAGCTGTGGGGCCAGGCCCAGGACAGGTGGGTGCTGGAGGTCACCTGAGTCAGGACACGGCTGTGGGGGCGGGGTCAGGGCTGGAGCAGTTGCTACTGTGGGGATGCGGGCGAGGAGGGCAGGTGGTCAGTGGCCCCCTGGGTGCAGGCAGCAGTGGCTCCGCCTGGTCCCCATGGCCACTCCAAGGAGAGCTGGGAAGCCCTCTATCCCAGATGCCTTCCTGCACTGGTGTCCTGGAGAGGGCCAGTGTGCAGGACCGGCAGTCCGGCAGTCCCCACACTCACCTGGGCCTCCACGCGGGGTCCAGCCCTGGATCCTCTGGCAGACCAGGCGGCTGAGCAGGCCTGCCAGCGTGCCCAGCCGTGAGAAGTCGGGTACACTGTGGACGGTGATGTCGAGCGGTGGGGAGGCCCGGAGCCTACGCGCAGGACGGTCCGCACTCCTCAC